AAAGACGACGACCCCCTCCGGTTCCGATCCGGATCCAGATCCGTAAACCCGACAACCCAAACCCACTTCCCCCACTTCCCCTCCACTTCCAGCTCGTCGAAAAACCTAACTCAATGAAACTCGCACCGACGTCTTACTCCAGTGGGGCCACAACAAGAGGTCGAGGGGCTCGAGAGCGGCCGAGAGCCATCGGACGGCTGCCGATGAGTCTTCGGTCCATCCGAGGTCACATGTCAAGATCCAACGACGGGTGGCGCTCGCCGGAGCTGAGAGGATGTCTGCAGCGACTGACGCATCGTCGATGCCCCCGCCAAGGGTAGCGGGCCGGAGGGGCTGCTTGCCGTTGAGGGATTCTACGAGCGCTAATCATAGCAGGTAAAGCTTTAATTTTTGTTTCAATTATGAAGATTGTTTTTAATTCGTGTAAGTTAATGTTGTTAATTATGAGGATTGGCTTTGATTCTTATCTGTAATTTGGGTTAATTAAGAAATATTTTCTTTTTTGTTATGTTGCGCTCTATTGGGTGTTTCTTCTTTTTAACATTATTATTATTACTATTTTTGTTATTGTTATCTTGCTATGAAGAATCTTTGTATGGGGAGGAAAAGGGGAAACTTTGCCTTTTATTTAGTCAAATTTTAATTAAATTTGCAATAATTGGGTTCGTTGTCTGATTTGTTTAATTTGTGTTATTAATGCTGTTAATTATTATGAGGATTGACTTAGATTCTTAATCTGTATTGACTGTGTTCCTACCTTCGATTCAGCTCTCTCTCCCCTCTGTCTTATCTAGAAAATTGAAAATTAGGGAGGAAAATCTATAGATTTATAACCGATCTTAAAATTTGTCTATATTCTTATATTTAATTCCTAATGTAACCTTATTCATATCTTACAAGTTATAGTTATTTACCAAAATAGGTGTGGAAGAGGTACTAGATCACGTATCCTGTAACATAGGAATGTGAGAGCGAAAACCCGGGTCAAAATTACAGAGGATGTCATTGCAAAATTTCGTCGATGCCCATGCCAAGGGTAGCGGGCAGGAGGGGCTGCTTGCCGTTGAGGGACTCTACGAATTCAAGTTGGGTTTTGTCCTTTGTAAAATTGAATTTTTTTTCGTTAGTTTCCTGATGCAGGCCGTCTTAAATTTATAACTTTGATATCTTTGTAGAATTTTCGTAATTTTAGTTGGGTTTTATTTTTTTTATTTTGATATCTTTGGAGCAAGATGATGACGAAGATAAAGAAACCAAATACCGCTTAGATCCATAGTTTGTTTTTTATTTAACTAGCTTTTAAAGATTATTCTCTGCCAACTTCTCTTAGATTAATTTTGATTTCAGGTATGCTAATGTCAAAACACCAGGGCGACATGATAATTTCACTTCTGTATGTATATTTTCCCTAATGCATTTATTCAACTTGCATATTTATGTATATTTTCCCTAATGCATTTATTCAACTTGCATATTCTTTCAATATAATACGTTTCAGACATTTCAATATAATACGTTTCAGACATTTTAGAAGTTGTTGTCATTTGCATAGGTGTCCATTGAGATGCATATAAATTGCTAGGTTTTTGGTTTAACATTAGAGCTTTCATTTTGTGAACTGTACAATTTTATAAAGATTCAATCCTGTAGTTTCAAGAACATTTTTCTTGCAAGCAATTCTCTTCAATATTTGACAGAACTTTGTTCAAACAATTCGCGGAACAAATCCTTTGCTGGAATTTAAATCAAGCAAACTGTACATAGGAATATATTGTTTATTGGATTATGTTTCTATTTGTTTGATTCATCCCATGAGTTACCCCCTCATGGGATGAAAGTGAGGCTCCTGTTGTCATTTCAATTTGTTTTCCAGTTTACCCATCACATTATTATAGATTTTAGTTGGGTTTTATTTGTTTTCCTTACATTACTACATATAAGTCTTTCCTTTTACATTTTTTTAAAGTAAAAATTTGGTATATTTTCATACATGGTTTGCTGTTTATTGTGGGCCATCGGCGCCGCCATTTGTTATGATTCCGGCGAGCGACGGCGGCGCGCTGATGGATCTTGAAGCCAGCGATGATGAGGTTCAGATGTGGTCCTCTCCGATAAGAATTCCTCAGGTTTCATTTGTTTATCTTTATTGGTTTTATTCATTTTTATGGTTTTCATACTTAATTTAGGGTTCTGATGAGTTCTTGAAAGGATATGATGATTGGAGCAAGACAGATTTCCCCTGTTACAATGGTATATGGACACAAATATAAATAAGGATAAAGATGCGACACATGCACACTTATGGATCAAAATATTAAAAATTTGTCACCTGCATATGTGTGTTTTTCACCTTTTTTTAATCCTTAATCTGTGTTTTAATCATAATTTGTTATTGACATGATCTGTAGGTATTGAAACTGCATCCTGAAAACCTATATGATGCCAATGGTACTGGAGCTATCTTGGTTGAAAAAGGTCACTTTAATGTTTCAAAGGATATATTTTCGGAGATTTCTTTTGGCTATGCATCAGCTCTTTTCTTTAGTTAAAAATTTCATTAATTCTTTTACATGACTTATTTTTATAATTTAGGTGTAAGAAGCTACATCAGGGAGCATTTTTGTTCAAATGCCAGATGTGTGGGTAAATTTGGGCAATGTTTATTTTGCTCAAGGACATTTCTCCTTAGCTGTGAAAATGATAATTATAAGAACCCTGGATTTTTTTGTCAGAAGCATTAAGTGTAACAATTTTCTCTTTTGTAGTACCAAAATTGCTTGCGAAAGTTCTACTACAATACAGACACGGAGGTCCTTCTATATTTATCCTTCACTCATTATTAGGCAGAACAATGGAATGAATGTAAAAGAACTTCACAAAGAGCTATTCATTTGGCACCCTCAGATTATACGCTTCGGTTTGATTTGGGGGTTGCCTTGCAGAAGTTTTCTGCACCAACACTACAAAAAAAGAAGAGAACTGCAGATGAAGTTATATGCTTCTATTCTTTAAACATCAATTTCATTATCATACATTTCATAGTTTCATCAGATGGGTTTTCTGCACCAGCACTATAAAAGAAGAAGAGAACTGTAGATGAGGTTATATGCTTCTATTCTTTAAACATCAATTTCATTATCATACACTTCATAGTTCAGATGGTTAAACATTACTATTTCCCTGAAATTACACCTAAAGCAAATTACCCATATTGAGATTCCACGCTATATACAGAGGGCCTTTCTCAATAGGAGATTTTCTGAGATCTTACTACTTTCTGTGTTGTAGTATACTCATTGTTCAGATGATTTAAAAAATCCTCAATTGCCATGTAATCTATGGCTCTGTGATAGGATTCTTGCAAGTGTAAGCATGTGTGTCATTATGTGTTATCTTCAGGTGCCTTCTACTCTGTAACTGTGATAGAATTTCAGAAGAGTGAATTTTTGTGCACTTGCGTAATTTGGATTCTTAGATTTTCTTTTTATTTGCTATTTTTGGTAGCATTTGTTTTCTTATAATTTGTTTATTTGCCGATGATGCTTTTGAATGCTTCTACAGCGGTTTTTATATGCATTTTCTTTTTTGCAATTCTCATTTGTAGATGTACATGTACACTATGCTTCTACAGCGGTTTTTATATGCATTTTCTTTTTTGCAATTCTCATTTGTAGATGTACATGTACACTACTGCTCTTAATGTATGCATTTTCTTTTTTGCAATTCTCATTTGTAGATGTACATGTACACTACTGCTCTTAATGAAAAAAACAAAAACAAAATCTTCAACTCTTTTTTTATGTGATGTTGGCACACAATTAGGCCAAATCATAATGCACAGGACAAATGATGTCTCAATTTATTTCTCTGAATTTGAGTTCATTGGATTAGATCTGTAGATAATACTTTATAACTTTCTCATAAGTTTCATGATTAATAAGCAAACACATATATAACATGCATTATTAGAATCAAGCGTACATTTGGTTAAATTCTATTAAAAAGTTATCGAATCAAATTGTTAATAAACTACCGAATCGAACATACCTTTGGTTAGATTCTATTCATTTATAAGTCGAACACTAAAAATTATTTGTTTAGTACTAAATGAACTATCGAAATAAACTTCTGCGAATATTTGGACGAATAATAACCGAACAGTTTACTAATTATTCGGTTCACTTCCACCCAAGGTTTTAAATGTCGGATGTCGGGTTCATGTCGGATGGCTGAAATCCATGCCGAATAGCAGAAATCGGGGATATATCGGGGGACATTAACTAAATATCGGATTATCATATCGGGTTGGGTGCATATATATAATATCATATCCTAAATGTAATCTAAGCATTCATAAATTCAATATAAACATACTTTATAAATTCTATAGACTAAACATATAAAAAAGTAAATAATATATGGATTTGGATTCATAAATTCTCTCTATCGGGTTCATAAAAAACCCTTAAACATGAAAACGGGTCAAACGGGTTTGAGTATTTATCACTAAACCCAAACCCGATAACAAAAAATAGATCTTAAAAAAAATACCATATCGGCCGATTTTCCAAAGCTAAAAAATAGGCCGATATGCCCGATATGACCCTGATATTTCCGATTTAACCCTGAAAACCGACATACGAGTTGAAAACGTCAATGTCGTGTCGGTCAAGCCCTCAAACCGATATGTCGGCCGACATGTCCGACCATTACTTCCACCACTATACTTCATATCTAAAGCAGAATACTTTATTTTCGCAACATGTTCAATATTTGTAGAAAATCTTCTAGAAACCATGCTTTGCACGGGTCTAGATACTAGTTAAGATAATAAAGAAGCCATACCTAAAAGTACAATATGAAAAGCACGGAGAATGTCGTAACACATCAAGCTAATAAGCGGCATTTCATAGCTAGAGCAACAAATAACTGCTAAAAGTAATTTTTAAAACATCAAGTTTAATACAAGGGAACATAGCCTATATGCCGACGGAATTTACCAGGTCCCTATTGGCCGGATGGTCAGGATAAGGTCCGGCCTCCATCCCCTTTAAATTCATTTGCCATATCGCCTCTGCAAAATAGAACCAATAAAAAAACAGAAAAGAAAGGGGAAGAAAATAAATAACGTCTGTTATGCAGACAGCAGACACTACTTTGATAATAATCGCGGAACTACAGGAGGGTAAACTTTCGAAATGATAAGAAGAAGAGGCAACCCTCGACAAGATTATAAATGATGTAGCGTTACCATCCATTAAATTACTTGGATTACAAAACAACGATTTCATATATAAAGAAGGGAAAATAAGCATCTACCCACGATGCTGGTATTGATGAAGCCCAAAATATCGTACTATCATAAATAAAATAAAAACAATTTCCAAATCAGAAGTAAAAGGGAGAAAGGGAAGGAAAAAAGAGAGAAAATATTAAAAAAGCAAATATAAAAAAAAAAGACATCAGTAACAATATCCCCAAACACCTCAATAATTTTACTCATCAAATCGTCAGTGGAAAGGGCGAAAAAAAAACCAACATCTACACATTGGGACAATTCCGGTCCCAATTTCGCGAAAGCACAACCCTAGCAACAATAAAACAAGTCGAGCGAATGAAAACCCTAATAACTTCTTTCAGTCACCTTCATCAATGGGCGACGGCGATCCCCCGTTCACTGCCGCCGTCGCCGCCCTGACGCCTTCGGTAACCATCACTGGATCCCCGCTGCCGGAGCCTCCAACGGTGTTCCCATTCCAGAGCTACGGACGCTACGAGAGTAATGAGGGTGTGAGGGAGGAGAAACGATGAGAGAGAAGCGAGGAGAAACGATGAAAGAGAAGGGCAAAGAATGTAAAAATATGAGGGTAGGCGGAACCATTTTAGACATTTATTTATTATAAATATAAAAATAAAAACAAGGAAGGCGTTACTTCGAAATCTCCTCAAAAGGACCGAACTCGTGAAAGCGTAACCGTCAACGCCCTCTTTTCCGTGTCCTCTTCCTGCTCACATTAACGAATTCCTTTTTAGCACGTCGTTGGACGCAGGAGCTGGTAACGCTTCTTTTTTCCCGCCGGTTTAACGTGACCCCTGGGTTAGTGCCACGTGTCATAGGGCTACTGCAGGTGACCCACATTTGGGTGCTTGATATTTTGGGTGCGACCAGAGGGGTCATAATACAATCGCACGTGAATGGGGTCCATTTTATCTAGTTGCAACTCATTATTATAATTATACTAAGTTTTATGCACATGCAATACACCGTGGTTAAATATCATGATTTAGTATATTCGTTTTATTTCCTTACTAAAATATGTTCCTTTGTTCATTGATGATTTTTACTTATTTATATCTCCAAAATTAAGCATTATAATTATTTATTTTCTTTGATGTCCATTTTAACAAGCTACACCCAATTTAAATTGTCATATTGATAAATAAATTGTCGAAAAATAAATGTAATCCGAAACCAATTTGAATTATCATGTTATTAAGACCGACATAAAACCAAGCTTGACCTGAGAAAGTATAGCAATGTAAAAGTAAAAAACACTTCAAAAAATGGCATGAAGATGAATAAATAAAGCTCATAAGACAATTGATTGATTAAAAGTGGGCTAAAATGGCACAAAAGAGAATATGGAGTTTGTTCCTAATCCTTGATAGAATTTAAAAAAAAATCATAAACAAAGGATTGATGTCAACTTTAGCATACTTTTATATGATGAAAGCATCCACATAAACATATAAAAGCACTAAAAAGTTTATCAAAATCCATTCTAAAAATTTCTAATTTACTCAAAATAATAACCTGCTCTAAAAAAGTATGATCAAGATAGGATATAATTATGATTAGGATAGATTAAAATTTAAATAAAATATTCAAAATAGTTAGGGTAATATCGACCATTAAAATATTATTCTAAACTCGTAGTTTTAAAAAGAGTATGATATGACTAGGTGGAATGCACGTGCTTTGAACGTGGTCAAATGACATTTTTGAAGTTCAAGGGTTATCTTAAGATGAACCCAAAGACGGGGTTATGCGAATTTTAGCTGACATATAGTTAAGTAATTGTTTTTTATATCATAATCAATCATTGAATTTCTAAGGATATTTTGTATGCAATCTATCATCTTAAAATAATTTCAATTTGTTGAATTTTTTTACTGATCATTGTGTTTTTTTCTTAAATATTGTTCTCCAAATACATTATCACATTAATGATTTTGGACTCATACAACTTGATAAATGTGCATCGGGTCAACATGATTATGTACTTCCCTTTTCTTCGAGTGAGAGAGTTGTTTTGTAATCCCCAGTAGGTGGCTTATATACCAATTTGAAATGTTATGAGCCACTCTGGCATATTTGACAAATAGCTTATTTTGGCTTATAAATTACCAAAAAATAAGGTATAATACCCTAGCTTATTTTTAAATGGCTTATAAGCCACAAGGTTTGACCATGTAAAAGACCAATATAAACCTCATCAATTAAGGAAGTTTCAAGCCACTTTTCACTTTCTCCAACCTCATTAAATGTTTTTTGGTCATTTTGATAATGATGATGTTTATAAACCACTCATTTTCCAAACACCTGATTATTAAAAATAGATTATAGTCCACTTAATTTACCTAATATTTTTGTTTAATGCACTTAGTGTCACGCCCCCAAGCCCATGGGCCCGTTGGAGCATGCAAGCCGTGAGACCCACCAAGAGCAACTCGATATTGGCTAAAATCCACTGTCAAAATGCTAAAACTAGTTGTTCTTGGGCCTTGGGCTTTTTTCTATTTAAATCACTAACATTTTTTCACACTAGTTGTAGGCGTTAAAAAATGCCCATAGGTCCTCAAACACAGTGTAAGACAAGGAAAAGACGATAAACGTTCCAAAAGAGAGAGCATATTTTTCGTTGTAGAAGATCTATAAAAGTCAACTCTCTTTTCAATTTGAACTTGTATGTATCGATAAACGGTGTAACGGGTTGAAGCAAATGGAAAAGGCACTTTTCGACACATAAACTGGCCAAGTGGGAGCCGAACTTTTTGCAAAAGCTGTAGTTCGAACCAAAGATGTCTAACGTCAACGAGGAGGTGCGAGTACGAGTTGACCAAGCATATGAGATAATTATCCTCCTCTTCCGATTCATCCTCCCCTCGTAGGAATAGGCAAAACTCACAAGGAAAGGTCGAGATATTTGATGTGAAGGTGTTGCAAAATGCAAGAACCTCATCCCGCAGCGGTTCAAGATAAATAAAATTGATTCGCTTGTGAAGCGCTGAACGCTACAGGCCGAGGCCGACTTTATCCATGAGGGCGCGTCAAAGGACGGCGTCAACGCTAGCACGCGCAATTGGCCAAGGCCTCCAGCCAGTGGATGGGAATCCGCTATGAGCGGATTGAAGCTAGATGACGCCACAAGCCCAGCAGCGACTTAGCAATTGGTCTAAACACGACAAATGAATGGTCCGCAAGAGACACTTCCACTCTTGAAGAAACGAACAAGAAGACGCCACGCTTTACTTGCGCAGCAGAATCCTGGTACAGAGAGCGCAAGAACTACAATAAGTACTGGCAGACTTCTAAACTGACGAAACCACGTCAAATCGGAGGCCAATCCAGAACAAAGCCGAAAAAAGAGGCACATGCTGCGGTCGGCAGAGGCCGAGTCACAACCCGCTTGGCTCGGCCAAGACGATCACCAAATGCTGGCTCGGGCGCAAGACCGAGTCACTAAACGCCTGGCTCGGCAAGACGAGTCCCTAACCTGTCGTCGGCCAAGGCCGAGTCACTAAAAGCTGGCTCGGCCAAGCCCGAGTCACCAAAAACTTGGCTTGGCAAGGCCGAGTCACCAAGCTGGCTCGCTAAGGCCGAGTCACCAAAGCTGGCTCGGCCAGGCCGAGCACCATTGCTGACCCCGCTGAGCTAGTTATCTTGTCGTGCAGAAATTTCGCACTCCTGCGACAGCTTTAAGTCTCGCGACAGCTCTGTTTTTATTTCCGATGACTTCCTCCAAGTCCTGTTAAACCCTAACGGCGGCGTGGATTCATCCGAAGTTAAAAGTACATTATGGATCGTCTCGGGCCCTTTGCATAAAAAACCCCGCTTGATTGGTCAAAATGGGAACGGGAGCGAGTCTCTAGTAACTCAAAACTCCTCATACAGAGAAAGTACCAGTAACCGGTCGCCTTGGGCTACGGGTAGAAGTTCGAGATTCTGTTCCACCGCTCACTGGCGTGCGAAGCGAGTTTCAAAGCGAGGCGAGCTCTTGAAAAAATACAGAACGCGATATGCTCAAAGAGAGCTTTATTGCGTCCAGAAGAAGACGATGATTAGAAAAGGGTTATGCAACGACGAGATCGGCTGGCTCCGAATTGAATAATATCGATGAGCTGTAGCTATCAGACTGGGTATGATAAATTCGGAAGAGAACTCCCGAGAAAGGGATGTACCTCGTTTGTCATGTGTATCTAACTCATCAGGCGTAATTAGCATGAATGTAACTGTTCCACGACTGCACGCAAAGGATTTCAGTGTTTGAAAGACTTTCTACAGAAACGAGAGAACAAATCAAGTAATTTTCGTAAAAAAACCAACACCGTTCGGAACGTGAACTCTCGGAATTCGATTAACATGGCAGAAAAAGGAAAGTCCACGCGCGCTACAGACCTGAGCCTTTCAAAATATGTCCAAGTCTTAACTCGGCTGCAAACCGGGGGCTATAAGGCGTTAGGGATTAAATTCAACAGGATCAGAGAAGACAATCCTCAGACGAAGAAGCGTCGGATGCTAACTCAGCGATGTTAGATCACTGTATCCATAAGGAAGTCTCGAGAGTCATCATGATCTACCACAGAACAGATGCTCAACTCTTCAGAAGCTTTTGCAACAAAACGAGGATTTCAAAATTGAAATGGAGATGGCTGTACAACGTGTTAAAGCTTTCCAGCACACAACTCCAACAGCTAACAACCAGCGCGGTGAATCTAGTCGTCGTCCGACACTAATCAGTATAGATAGCGCTCGAGGTAGAAAAAATCTAACATGGAGACTCCCCGGAGAAAGGAATACGAAGAGTTCTTGAACAGCTGGGGGTGGTATCAAATATCCATCCTCAAAATCGCCAGAGAGAAAGAGCTAGGGAAGATCTAAGAGACAGATTGGAAAGCAATCATGCTTGATTCTGCGCAAGAAGTAAAAAGACTGGCATTCCGTGTCTACGAGGAGTGGGACTCCTTCCATCACCGACGAGTTCAATTTGATCACTTCACCATTTCGATTGAAGGGGCTCCTACCCAACACTTGATTTATTTCAAGTCTCACCTGGGATCATTTCAGGTAACGAACCTCTAATGGTACATCGTTCGTAGGAACCGTTCGCGCTGCTGCATTTGATTGGTACGCGTCGCTTAAACCAGGAAGTATCACTAATGGCGATATGGAAAGCATGTTCCTCGCTAATTTCTTCGACGATGACACGAGGTGTCAATCGGCACGCTCTTTGAAGAAAAGCAGAAGGATGGAGACTCGTGGAAAACTTTGTTAAAGCCTCCGGAACAAGGCAATGAACTGGCAAGATCCGGTCACGGAGGAGTTCATACTCCAGATGTGCCATAATAATCTTCCATAGATGTATTAGAGCTATGAACAGCACCGTCCAAAACTGGAGGATCTGAAGGTCCGAGGGAAGCAAGCTGAGCGATTTCTCCAAGGAAGAAAACCGAGAGGGTCATCAACAACTAAGCCTCCGAATTCTAACTTTGCCTCTCGTGCAAAGGCAATCACATGCAACAGTGTTGACGCTAACCAGACGTCGCAAAAGCAACTCCGAAAAGCGAAAAGACTTCGGGTCCGAGACTTCCAAAAGAGTAC